GGGGGCGGGGCTGGCTGGCATGTGGTGCTGGGGGATTGAACCGCGGTCCCTGATGCCTTGCCAAGCTTGTTCTAAGTAGGTGCTCCAGACCACTGAGCCATCTCTCCAGCCCCTAACTTAGAATTTTAGTGCTAAATATACCACAGAAGCTCATTGAAAATCACAATTCAGCTAAACTTGAATGGTAAATAAATTTCATCATGGAATAGTAGGGATACTTACTTAAAAGGGGGAAATGTCAAACATTGTATGGAAGTAGTTCCATTTATTTCAATTCCATAAAACTGCACTGAGTGCCTATAATCTGAAATTTAGCTCTGGGCAGTTCCAAATTTGAAAATACCTCAATTTCTTCTGTCACCGAGTTTATAGTTGAGACTAGAAAGGCACATACGAAAATAATTACTATAGGGTAGAGTGTGATGGTGTATGACTATAATCCCAGCATTTGGGAGGGTAAGACAAGAGTATTGAGTTGGAGGCCAGCCTGGGCTACCTAGTGAGTTCAAATCCAGTTTGATCTGTGAAGTGAAACCTTGTATCAGAAAAGAAAATGTTTTTCAATAGGGTGGAATATGATGGATAACTTAAGATCATAAAGTTGGAAAGTGGAATTTCAGGAGGGTATACAAAGGTAACAGAAGGTATCAAAAAGAAGCTGGATCTGGGACTGGATTTGAAGAATGGGTGGAATATTTGACAGGTAGAAAATAAAGGGATTCCTTGAAGACCTTGTGAGTCTGAACATGTAGGTGGAACAGTACAAAATAAATTCTGAAGACTGTGAAATGGTCTGATTTGGGTGGTCTTTCTATGAATACAGAGAAGGTAGTCAGTAATGGAAAATATGGCCTAGCAGGTAAATCGAGTCAGACCGTGGAGGGTCTATTTTTCTAGTCTAAGAAAGTTTGGACGCGATGCTATAGGCAATTGTTAGGCATTATAAAGTTTCAAACAGATGGCCTGGGGGAAGCAGAAGATTGGAACTGGAAACAGGAAAATGAAGTAGGAAACATTGCTAACATCAGAGAATCCATGGCAGGATTCCAAAGAAGTGTAATGGAGGGTCTTTCACTAGAGCAATGGCAGTAGATTAAGAAAAAAAGCAAGGACAGATATGAAAATATTGTCAAAGACATGAAAGAACCTGTCTTCATTTAGAAATAAGTAAGGGTTTAATCTAGATTTTTAAAAAAATAGTTCATCCTATCAAGGAAGGTGGGAAACACAGTAAAGGTAATGTATCAGTTTTGGATTTGAAGGACTTTATGAGATATCTATATGTAAATGTCTAGTAGATCACTGAAAATGTTCATGTGCAGAGCTCATAAGTAGAAATGACAGATTGATATCTATAAAGAGATCATTGTTGAAGCTGTAAGGATTGGGTTCCTCGAAGGGGACCAAATATAGAGGCAAAACATCTATGGATAGAAACTAGGAAAATCCTCCAAATCAGGGAGAGGATGAGCAGTCAAAGACATCAGAAGCAGGGGGAGAAGCCATGAGATAGAGAGCTTCAGAGAGTGAGAGGCAGTACCATAATGGCCAGGGCAACCAGAAGCAAAGGCAGAAATTCTGGGAGCTGTTTCCATGAAGCCTGGCAGCAGAAGCCAAGGGGTACTGGCCAAGGAATAGTATGAAGAGGAGATTAAAGGTAGAAAATATATATTATTCTTTTGAGAAATGTGTCGATAAAAAGGCAGCTTGACATTGGGAAAAGAGAAGACTTTTATATCAGAACTAAGAAAAGTTATTACTTAAAGCAAAGGCAGAAAAAGGTCAAAGAAAGACAGGTGAAAGATCTCAAGGATAATAAGTCAAGTGAATGTGGTAGTAAAGGGTTGATATTGCCCTGTTCTTCTGTTAGCAAACTGGGACTCGAGGTAATTCAATATCTAGAACAACTGAAAAGCAGGAGTATTATAATGAAAGAGCACTGGACTCAGAGTTTGGACTGCTGTGTTCTGGTGTCACTTTTGCTACTTACTAGTGTGAGACTATGGGCAAAGTCACTGCTTCCCTCTAGACTTCTGTTTCTTCATCTATAAAATTACCTCTTGAGCCCCTCATAGCTGACAACAGCATGTCACCTATTTCTTGATTTTAACTTTTTTCTTCTTCAATTTTCTTTCAGATACCGTAGTGAAAAGATGACCCTAAGTTATGCTGAATACCTTGCTCATCGCCAGCATCATCATTTCCAAAATGGCATCGGACATCCCCTTCCGCCATACAACCATTATTCCTGACACTGAGCCGCACAACCAGTCACTGGGCCTCTCTGCAGACTTCTTCCCAGGAGACTCTACACCTTCTTGGTCTAGCTATCTCTTTTACTGTACCATTTTATGATGATAGTTTCCGTTGCCATGGTGAAGCTTCGATATCATCACTTAAGATCATCATGGTAACGGGTAGGAAAATGGCATTTGTTAAGAAGATTGTTAGATTATTTTTAGGTCATTGGGGGGTTTTTGCAGCATATATAACATTTTGGGTTTTGTTTCCTTACAATATTAGTATTTTGCTTTGCTGTCTCAGTCAGCTTTATGTCTTTCCATCCTTGCCTTTCCATTTCCTTCTTTCCTTCTTTCCTTCTTTCCTTTTTTCCTTCCTTCCTTCCTTCCTTCCTTCCTTCCTTCCTTCCTTCCTTCCTTCCTTCCTTCCTTCAACTGTGGATGGAAGAAAGTGTGTGGATTTTAAAGGGTTTTTTTTAAGGATTGTCTTTAGTTTTCCTCAATAAGATAGTTATTTTTTGATAGTTAAGTTTGGGAGTAATTCATATGAAATTCAGGTATTTGTATATTAACTCATGCCCAGAATTCACTTTGCTATGAGAGCTTAGAATTTGAGGCTTCAACCCTGAAGAATATGTATTCCCCATGGTTAAACCATAACTTTAGTTGTAGTAGAAGGTCCATGATAGGGTTTGTCACAGAAAGTGGTACTGGTTATCACAGATGAAACTGCCTCAACACTTTATAGAACCAATTTACAAATTAAAACACTGTTTTAAGAAAGTATAGACTGCCTTACAAATAGGCCACAGAAATCATTTTGAAGAGCAGCAAGTATTAGACAGCAGATGCAGAATTTAGTGCCTTTGAGAAGAGTATAATTAAGTTGAATTAAGAGCAGTTAAAAGAAAGGCAATTTAGAGGGAAATATTCTTCTAAAATTTTATTGTTTCAATGTGTGAAACAACAGATTAGACAAATTCCCTATGCTGAAGTATTTTTTTAGCTGAAAAAAAATTATTTTGAGCAAATAACCAAAAAGACATTTGTCTATTTTATATTAATTTAAATTTGTTAGCTTTAGGTTTCAATAAGTCGTAATTGGCCAGAGTCAATTTTAGCTACCATCTAAAGATATGGGAAAGATAATCTAGTGAAAGAAAAGTTGGTGTATGCCATGATCATGTAGATACGTATGTGTGTATTTCAGAGATACTATGAAATAGCTTGAATCTCTTTCTGCACTACATACTTTTGATAGAAACATGTTTACTCTGTTGATATTATGTTAAACCTATAAAGATGGAGTTGGCATTCAGATATGCTGTAGTTAGAGCCTAGCTTGTTTGCAGGGCTACTCTTCCCATGATGCAAAGGGAACATGGTGATATCAATAGGAGGTGTATACATATATCCCCAGAAAAATCATGTTTCTGGATAAAGGTGACCTTCACTTTATGGTAGGATATTTAGAGACTTAGGTAGGTAGATAGATAAATATATTTGGGGAAAATATATAATTTTTCAAACAGGGAATCAGTATATCAAGTGATTAAAAGTATGCTGCAGAATATATATTCTAAATTACAAGAAATGTCAACTGAATATCAAATGATATAACAAACGCATATAGCTGTGACAGATGAAAGACTGCTAATTCAGAATTCAAAAGTCCTTTTTGAGTTTGTGAGATACTGGCTGAATTCCTTCTGCTTGCCACTGGGGCAAAGCATACTATAGTTTTTGATGAACGTACTTAGAGAACCTTGTTGATATTCCTTCATCCACAGCATCCATTGTTGAAATAACCATTTTCAGTTGTGATGCCTTAACTAAGAAGCCAATTGTTAGCCTGAAATGCAATCTTGGTAGCCAGTTCCATTGAACCCAGAGATAAGTCAAAAAAGTTAGCAGGTGAACTTTAGAAAGGGATTTTAAATCTTGTCATTTCTACTTGGGAACATTTTGGAATAGATTAGTTTTTCAGTATAAAAATAAGTGGCTACCTTATGGAGACTTTTTCTTGCCCTTATAGGGAAACTGAGCACAAATTGAATGATATTGTCTGCTGCAAAAAAAAAAAAAGATAAATGAAACAAACTGAGGAGAGACGAAATAGACCAATATTGTTGTGAAATCCATCTTATCCATCATCTCATCAGTTCAACAGGCTCTTTGTCCTGGATGAGCTTATGGTTAGAAGTTTTTTTAAAGAAAAGATCTATTACATACACATATGTGTGCATGTGTACATTTACTTACACATACATGCATACATATGTGTGCGTTTATATATTTAACGGTGCTATTCAATCTTGAGCAGGTCACGTGACTGGTCATGCGGACTCTAAAATCATATCAGATTTTTTAAATCCTTGATATATGCAGATGTTATACAGATTTTCTTACCGGTGTAATAATGTTATACGAAGAAATAACCATCCTGCAGGCTTCAAAGGACGAGGTCAGCAATATTTCCCACCATGGCTTGGGGGGAAAGGATAGTTTTGTGTCCTTTTGTATTCAAATTGATGCACAGTGCATTTTTGTAAGTAGCTGTTGACTAAAAGACTTTGTAGTGTAAAGGGTGTTATACAAACTGTCATGGTGTGCTTTGAACAAATGCTAGACCCCCTTCACATTTGTCGTATTTACAAAGCTGTTAAATATGTGGTTTGAATTACCTTTGAACATGTTGAAATATGTAGCATGTGTCTGTAACTCAGACGAAGATTCTAATTGCACAGCTTGTGTTCTAGCCAGTTGTGGTTTATTTGTTCAGAAACACAAATGTGAATTTCACTCTTATCACCAGAATATTGTGCAAGTTCAGTGATCTGTAAACAGCTCAGAAGTAATACTTGAACTTCATTGGAGTAGCACAGTTTACACAGCCCCTTTTAAATGTCAATTAGGTTCATATAAGTTTTCTGTTTTCAAATGCAACTGGGTATTTTTCCTGTTGGAAAATAGCATGTGTTTCACTTTGGTGTATGAAGCAAAAGGCTTCCATTTCTGGAAGGGTTTTCTTGTTCTTAAACAAGGTCAGCCAGGTACCAGATTCAGAAAGAGCAATTGTTTCCCCACCCCTTAAGTGGCCTTCTGACTGCACAAGACGGTGCTACTACCGTCTCTCATCTCCCCTACCAGGAAAGGTTGTTGAAATTGATGGAGGAAGTGCAAGGCTTGCTTCCCTTTCCCCTCATTTAAAGCAGTTTCAAGATTTTCAGTCCAGTGTATATAGTGCCCAGCACACCGGAAGTTTGTATACTGGCCTCTTTTATTGTCTTCAAATGTGCAGGAAATTCGAAACTGTCATCTGGAATAGATTCCATCTTTCATGTGTGTTAGATCAAACCAAAGAAGCCCCCAGCCATGCCCACATGCTGCTCCAAAAGCCTGCCTTCCAGTCCTTACAAAAACCTTGCAGGATTAAATGTGTTAACTTTTTTATTTTTGTACAGTTTCTAAGTGATTTTTGCTAGTGATGTTAAAATGAATTAAGTTTATTTGAGGAGTGTGAGCACCTCCTCCATTTAAATAAACTGGTGACTTTTATTTTTAAAAGCAGAAACCTATTGTGTGCCTCTCGATTTAAGGGTTTCTGATTACATTATTCTTAAGACCAGCATTGATCCTTTATATACAAAGATATGTTTTCCTTGTTTTTTATTACTGTTTCAAAAGAAAACAAACCTTTTATTTTGCTCTGGACCCAGTAACTGCGCTGGTACATAGACGCACTGAGAAAATAAACTTTTTGTAACCACCTGACTGCTTTTGTATATCAAAGTTGATTACTTTTGAAATATTTGGATCTAGTTTCTAAGTTATTTTAGCATTTTATATGTTCCCCAAGATTACTTTGAATTGGTCACCAGCATAATGAGTTTTTGGTGATGCAATGGTCAGACTTGTAACGAGCAAAAAGCTACCTGGAGTAGCTCTTCTTTTCCTTCTTTCTTAGTAACTGTTTTTTGATTACAGTAAGAATCACAGATTACCTGAAATCCCTTCCAGTATAACTAGGTCCTCCCTTCCACATTTAATTGCTTAATAGTTCAAAGAAATTATTGAAAATGGGCATTTTATATGATATGTATGGCTTTAAAATATTAAAAAATGAGAAAAAAAGGAAAAAATAGGAGGTTTATGTTGGTCTGTATGGTATGGCTGTGGAAAGATAATGTAGTAGTTTTGACACTATTGTTATTACCTTTTAAAATCATTTACCCAATAAAATGTTGAAACTGAGCTATCATTTGCTTGTTTATTTTACCAGCCTCATCACAGGATCTTGTTCTCTTTGGAACTTTTGACAAAAACGTTAATAGCTCACAACTCTGAAATAAAATAATTAAGGAACTGATACTGATTTAGTTCCAAATAGCAGTTGGGAAAGCTTACCTGCCCGCAGCTGCTCCCTGCCATATTTTTTGCAGATGCCATCCTTTTGTCTAGTCTGAATCCTGGCTTGGTAATGTAGATTAACCTGGCCACAAAAGAGGCATGCTTAAAATTTGAATTCCAGTGGGAGCTTAGCTATGTTTAAGCCTATTCCTGATAGCTTCCAAATCACTCAGTAGTCTCTGGGCATTTCCTTTTGTGAGCTGCCCGTAGACAGCAGCAGTGCTATCCAGGGCAAATCATCTGATGAAATGGGACCCCTTTCTTCTGCCTTCAAGGAAGGCCTAGCTGTTTTCTCGGTGCAGGACATACTCTAAAAATGTCCATGCTGTGGCCACTCAGCACTCACACAGATGTATACACACACGAGTTGTACACTGTACACTTAAACTTGGTGCTAGTTTTCCCACTCCAGGATGACACCTCCAACTCAAGTTTAGGGAAAACGCTTGAGTGTGGATTAAGAGAACTGGTGTTACTGACTTTCAAGTGCCAAATAAGACACTGCATTAAGAAAGGAAGCTCCTGGGCTGTAACCTCTGGCAAACGTTGCCCTGTGTCTTGTGGAAAGGCTACCAAGGACATTGTTGAAATACCACTGGCTCTTTCTAATTCATCTGCTGTCACACTTTTATCATGCACGCTTTTGGGTTGGTTGCTAGTTGTATATATGCAGGACAGTTTTCTGTTATATTGGCCCAAAGCCCTGGTCCCTTGTGAATATTATTACATGTGCTCATGCTGATCACAGTGACTAAAAACAGCCACCTCAGATCCTAAAAGGCTATTATGGTTTCAAATAGTACTCTGGTAAAAAGTTTACTCATTTTCATGATTAGTGTTTAATGAGATGTAAGATTTTTCAATGATTTGGGCAATATTAATAGCTTCAGGTGGAATTAAATATTGAGCCCATGGCATTCCTTTTAATGGCATTAGTGGTTAACTCAATGGCCTGAACAGGTTTCAACCTCACATAACATACTCCCACCTCCCTAAATTCTTTCCAGAGTTTTAGCATTCCCTCTTTAGCTTTCTTGTCCCATTGGATGCTTTTCAAATAAATCTACTCCCTTGGAGGGCAAGCTGAGCTGTGTGGGACAATGCACTTCCTCTCTGTTAATGGGAAATACTGTCCTATCTAGAGGATTCTACCAGTGTGAGCTAGGAGAAAGTGCTGTGAGGAAATTACACCTAGTTCACAGCTGCCAGCCAGGAGCCCCAGTAAGTACATGCTCAGAGTGGTTTCTTTCTCCTGCTGCACTGACTGCATGAGCTGAGCCAAGTGTGCATTTGGGTAGAATAAACTCTTAGCTTCTCATCTGTTTACCTGGGCTTTTCACCTATAAATGGAAAAGCTGGATGGGCAAATGAAATTAAGTCAAGCTTTTTTTTTAACTACTGCAATAAAAACGCCACCATGATGCTTGATGCCTGTGGCCCAATGGCATAACCTTGTATTCCAGACACCATGTCCGATGGAAGAATCTTTCAAGAACAGGGAAGAACTGTATTGGGTCCCAAGTACTATTCAGAAGCTAGTCTACTTCCTCATCCAAAAAAAAAAAAAGTCCTTATTACAACCTTGCTTTAAAACGTTTGACCCTTTAGGGCTGGAGTTACAGCTCAGTGTCATAGTATTTTGCCTAACATGTGAGATGTCCTGGGTTGCATTGCCTGTACTTCCCTCAAAATTTATATCTTAAAGTGCAGTAGTCACTCCCCATATCTATAAAGGGTACATTCCACCAACTCCAGTGAATGCCTGAAATCACAGAGTACTAATCCCTATATATATACTATGCTTTTTCCTATCTATACCTATGATAGAGTTGAATTTATAGTCACAGTAAACAATTCATGGTTTGGAGAGATAGCTTGGCAGCATAAGCACCTGACTAGCAAGCACAAGATCCCACGTTTGAACCCCAGTACTGTGAGCCATGCCCGTCCTGGAACCGGGCTTGGTGGTGCATGCCTGTTATCCCAGCATGGGGGAGGCTGAAATAGGATGATCACTATGAGTCTGAGCTGCATAGTAAGGCCCTGTACCAAAAAAAACATTCACAACAATAGTATAATGGGACTATTGTAACAATATATTGTATTAAAATTGGTAGCATTACTACACTTGTATTTGGGGCTACTCTTAGATGAATTGAGTTACATAAACACATTAATACTGTGACAGGCAGCCTGATAACTGAAATCACTATTAAGTGCCTAAAAGCTGGATACTATATACAAAGTATGATTTGAAAATATGGTGACTGGGACTGGTGAGATAGCTCAGTGAAATAAGTGCCTGCTTAGACAAGCACAGGGACTGAGGTTCCATCCCTGGCACCACACGCCACCCTGGCCCTGCCCCCAGGTGCACTGAGCCGGCCACCAAGTCTGGGTGTGTTGGCATATACTTGCAATCTCAGTGCTGGGAAGGATAAAAGCAGGAGGATCACTAGGAGTCCAAGCTGCCTAGTGAGGTCCGGTACCAAATACATTAACAACAACAACAAAGTATGGTGAATAAATTTTTAAAAGAATGCATTCTAGTAAAAAACACAATTGTCATTACCATTAACCACTCTCAAAGTATTTTCCTTTGTTTCAAACACATTTATGCCACTGCTATTGCCACTTCCTAAAGCAGTTCTGGAAGTCCTCTTTCATAAGTGTCT